TTTTTAGTAGAGATGGGGTTTCACCATGTTGACCAGGATGGTCTCGATCTCTTGACCTCGTGATCCACCCGCCTTGGCCTCCCAAAGTGCTGGGATTACAGGTGTGAGCCACCGCGCCCGGCCCAGAAACTCCACCTCAAAAAAAATTAAGATTCCTACCAAATCAGCCTCTGGTGAGCCTCCCTAAGGTGCGCGTGTTAAGCAAGCTTCCCAGGCACTGAGGACCTACAATGCAAGAGGACTGCCTCCCAAGTCAGTGCCTTGGGAACCTGTGTTCCTTATGGAGAATGGGTCTTCTTAGCCCCACTGGATCCTCTCCCATGGGGAAAAGGGACTATACCTACAGGCCTGGGCAGAAGAGGCTGAGTGAGTTTGGTTCATTTTTCCCCCTCTGATTCAGCCCTTCCTTTCTCCCAGGCTTCCATGCTGAGCTCCTGCCCATCTTCAGTCCTGAACTCTCTCCCAGAAACCTGGTTCTGGTGGCCACCAAGATGCCCCTGGGTCAGGCTTTCTCTGTTCTGGAGACTGAAGACAGCTGATGCAGCCTGAGGATACATCTCAGACCCCATCATCTGCACAGTGTGGCAGAGTACACCTCACCCAGAGAACCAGCATCCTGCATTGTCCTGAAGCCTGGTTCCCCACGAACCTTCAGTTCCATCCCTTTTCTCTCCCTCCATGAATTATGTAATACAGTGTAAAGTTTTAATTTATTAAAAATTGGAAATCTTTGTTTCCTTCCCATTTCTGTAGGTAGATAAAAGGAAATGCACACCCTCCCTATGGCACTGCTGCAGGGATGCTACAGTTAGGACTCACAGACCACTCCCCACTGCCCTCCCTGGTAGGTGGTGTAGGTGACAGTTTCTGTTACTCACAGATCTCCATAGAGGGGACTTCTCTTACTGACTTTGACCTCCAACCCAGAATCTGCAGGCTCTGCCCCTTTGGAGGGCTGCCTTAAGGCTGGCTAACTTCCATCCAGGTTCTGTCATAAACTCAGGAAAGACGCTCCTTCCCTTCGGTCCCTGAGAGTGTGCTGGGATTAGTACCATTCTACCAGAGACAGCAGCTGTACACAGAAAGACTCATAAACAGTTCTTTATTGGCATTTGAAAAAGGGGTGCCTCAGCCTTCAAGGCTGGGACAGAGTGGGAGAGGAGCTGCTCTCCCCAGGCTCAATACCAATAGACCTTCTTGTGTTTCCGGGTCTCCACGATCCCCATGGCCTCCATCACCTCCTCCTGCAGTGTCTTTAGACTGGGCACGTAGGTTCTTTCTAAAGCATCTTCCACTGATGTGTCTTTGGGACCATCTGTTAAGTCAGAGGAAAGGAGATGAGTAGGAGGGCTTGCCCACTTTCATTAACATCCCCTACTTTCACTCCTAGCAACCCCCTGGACTTTCCCGCCCTGGACCTTCCCGCCCCTCGCTCTCACCAGTCCACGTTTCAGGGATGATGCCATCAGCTCTGGGAAATTCGGGTTTAGGGATGATTCTCCCTGATCGTGTGGACACTCGTACCCGCTCTCCTGCTTCAGTAAATCTCCACTGGATCTCAGTGGGTTTCCTGGTGGATAGAAGAGGTGAGCCTGGCCTATGAGTCAGGTTTCCTGCCGTCCTCTAATCCAAAAGCCGTCAATAGTTCAGAACACTAGGGTTACCACCATGTTTCTCCGCCTCGGGGTTGGGGTTACCCACAGGGAGTCATGTCCATGAGATGGCCCCTCTCAATTTCTAGAGCATCCAACCCACCATTCCCATTGTACAGTATTTTGTGGACCCAGAGGGTGAGAAACCCTCTGCCCAGAGCCCCATTGCTTGCCTGTCCATAGGATCCACAAGTTTGACCTGGCGGTAGAGCAAGGGGGCTTCATTAGGGATCATGGTTCCCCGGGAATACTGGGTCCTGCCAACGTAGCGGTAATACTGTTCAAGAGACAGGAGTGTCAAAATAAAATAAAATAAAAAATAAATAAATAAAGAGGGGAGTGTCAGCAAAGGGTGTGAAACGGGTTTGCCCTTGCTACTCAGCACATTCACCCTAAGTTGAAAAGTAAAAGTTTCAGTAGTGCCACCATCCCCTCAGGCAGCCTCCTGCCACCCTGTGCTGCTCTGAATGGAGAGGGCCAGATGGGACAGGCTTCCCAAGCATCCCCATCCTCTTTACTTACTGTGTTCAGCCCTTCCACAACCACCCAGTTTTCCTGCCGGTTAACTTGAACCACTTTGCCCTGCTTCCCAGCATCCTTGCCTTCTAGG